CACAACTGTACAGAATAGAATAAAATAAAATACTATATACAATACAATAATATATACAATAGGATAAAATAGAATTCAAATGCTATATACGACTGAGTAAAAATACAACTTTGTCAGAAAAAGACAATTGCACTTGGTCTCATTGCACATGTGTGGGTTTGTGGGTTTGATCAGCTGCAAATATATTCTGGGAATACTACAAAATGGCTAATCTTCTGCACCAACATCCTAAGATAACATTAGCCGAGCAAACTTACATTAAATCAGCTCAGCTGAAAAACCAACGTCGCACTTAGCTTATTATTGCACATGCACAATCACTTTTGACTGTAAGGCGATTACACAGGGCATCTAAAAGGAGGCAACCTTTCTGCAAACAGTTGCAGTCTGACTTGGACTGACTGCAATCACTCTCAGAGAGATCATCAGAAAAGTCTGCAAATAATTGCTAATTTTTAAATTAGACAGATCGGCAACATGTTGCCATCGGTCTTGATTACTCACAACATGAGGGAACTCGACTCAACTGGCTCCAAGCCGATTGCATTGTGAGTGTATTTAATAGCAGACTGTCTTATGGCAGGAGTTCAGTGTTGGCAGGTTTGACCATCTCATTCAGCAAAAAACCCCAAAAAACAAAACTAAGGTGCGAGAATGTTATCTTACTGGATAAATCAGAGTTTGAGAACATAGTGAAAGAAAGACGATAAAATGCAATATATGTTATTTGCAATACTTAGCATATCACAAAATGTTAAAAACTGAAGTATACTGTATTGTACAAGTATTGTGATAATATCATATCGTGGGGTGATTCCCGCCTCTAGTAGTAGGTTTGGTGAAGCCACCAATGCAAAACTGCCTTGAGTCTGCACTTAGTGGACACTTTCCTGATGGCTTCATGGACTCATCGCTTGATTCATGTTATTCAGAGAACAACATTAAATCCATATTGTGAATTTTGATCATTCTAAGCGTCTGAAAGGAGTATTATCTACGGTATGCTCACTGGCTTGTGACTGACCAGTTCTTAGCCACTCGGAATATTGATTTCACAATCATATCCATCCTTTATTAGTAACATCTGGTTTAAAAACATCAAGATGACCACGGTGAAAACACTCATCCCAAGAAACTGATGAGTTACATGACGGCAACTACGTCCATCTTACTGTCTATGTTTCTGCACGGGAAACGGGAAACCGCCAAAAACTGCAGTTCCTTGAATTGCCACTAGGGGCTAGTTCAAAAAGCGAGTCAATCACCAATAATTCTAATATTAAAATTTCCAACTTCAACAGGAGAAATAAACAGGTTTGCAGCCTGGTACGATTTTTTACAAAGAGTGGATTTACAGATTGACTGGCTTTAGTCCATATGTAAAATTCCTGCAGTCAGAAAAATCCATCAGAAGTACAACAAGAGGTAAACTTCACATCATCCTTTCCCTTCCTACCTCTAAACTTTTAATACCCCCAGTTCTCCCTGATCTCCATCAATCAACCCCTTTGCTTCCTTTAACTCTCACATTTAGTGCAAAGAGGCTCCACTGTGCTGCCTCCCTCACGTGTTTCTGTGCTGTCAACACTTTCTAAAGATAACACCTCAACTTCACCCCCACCCCAGAACCGCCGCTCTGTACTCATCAGCCACGATCCACAACAACTCTTCGACTGTGACAGAGGCAGCTAAAATTAACCCTTAAACAAAGGGTTCTGGGCAGGCCGCGTGATGGACCGACAGAAGGGATGTGAGTGTAGGTGGAAGTCTGCACAAGCAGATATTAAAAGTTAAAAGAACAACTGAAAGAGACAGTGCAGCAGTTAGAAGTATAAATAATGAGGTTCGGGCCACAGCTTCTTAACCTGAAGTTGAGGACAGTGAGGACACCCACAATGCATAAAAAATGAACAAAACAGCCTGATTTCCCAGCGGGGTTCAGGCTGGAGACGTTCAGAATACCTGGATCATTAAAATGCCACAAGGGCCTCTCGAGCGCAGACAGAGTGCCTTCACCAGCAGTCAAAGTCATGGCCTTGCTGACCATGTCAGTGTGTGTTTCTGTTCATGTACCAGGGAAAAATTCATTAACTCACAAACATAATCACACTCTGACTCACACAAACTCCCACCGTAGAGCTGCTTTAATCCCAACCGGCACGCCTGCATGTAATTCAATCTATCTGCAGAAAAGCCAAGAAATGCCCAAGAATGCTGCGTTTCTCTTAGTCATTCAAACTTTTCTAATCCCTGCAATCTTGAAAGAAGATCACTGGATGACTGAAGGAGATGTATCCAACATTTAGCCTCAATACAATGATGTTTAGATCTTTGCTAATTGAACCTAGAAGGTCATGAGACCAGTAAGATTAGGAAAATCTGTAAGAAATGGAGCATTTCATGCATTTTAATCATAATAAACGCACAGCTTTTCAGTCACAAACATTTCATTAATGTGCATCCTTGAATGCAACGTGATTTTTCATTTAGCGGACAGTTTGCTATCCACCACTCGGAGGATTTGAAGGTTAAGGCCTAGAAAGATTAGAGAACGTTAAACGGGTGGATGAGTGGACAGCTGAAGCGACACTGAGTGATGGGGGGTGGACAGCAGATCTTTAAAGTGAATAGACTGCTGTGACACGCTTAAGCTATCTGCTTGCATGTCTGTTTAATGCGGCAGAATTACACACTGCCACTTCCAAATATCAAGTCCCGTGCAGATTTAGTCGTTGCCCTGCATCTGTGCCGTGCTAACTGAAATCTGGATTGCGGTCAGCATAGTAAACAAACTCTATCATCGCACGTTGGCACTGGATGAAAATAAGCGATGCCCTTCAAAAGAAAATGTCTCTGCGTTGATGATGGCGATGCAACTTTTTCTAATAAGAAGCTGTTTTTCATTTTATGCGTAAAGGGACAAATAAATATAGCCCGGCGCTGTTTTTTCTCCAAACCATGGGAAGATCCCTCATAACGGCTGGATGTGTGGGTGTGTGTATTACATGGTCATGGGTGTGAGAGAAAGATTTAGCTTACATCAATCCTCAGTGCATTCACTCAGGCCCATCAGAGGATGAAGAAAAACACTGTAGCAGCTTTACATCTGTAAGCAAACAGCAGTTTATATGTTTGCAGCAGATGGCTGCAGATCCGGGTCAGTCCTCATCCCTTTCAGAATGAGCCCGTCTGTTTCCAACAGCCCTCGAGCCTAAAACTTTCTTTAGAGGACAGCAACTATACATCCATCATAATCTACTGAAAGGAAGTGGTTTAAGGGAAAGTGGGAGGATGAAAACTGCAGTTTGCAAAAAGAAAACTTCATCTAATTACAATCTAATCACTATAAAAGGTGATCAGATGCAGCCAAATCTCTAACAGGTCCATTTCAGAATACTTTTTTAAAACTATTTTTAAGACAGTAAAAAAAATGCCCCATATATACAAGAACTATATTTTTTGTACCCTTCCTAAGCACTGCTTAGACTGACCTTTCACCTCATTAACATCTCAGCCGGGCTTGATTCTAGGATCCAGAATTAGCTCTGCTATCACTGGCATGAAGAGTGTTGACCAAGTAGGAAAAAGTCATGGAGGAAATGGGTGAAGAAGGACACACCCCGGGGAGAGAAAGCATGATAGAGTGGGATAATTTTAATGGAGGGTTTTCCCTAACAAAACGTAACCACAGTGCTAAAGTGTTTCAGTGCAGTGCCTCAGCCAAATGAAAGGAAAAAACACAATCCCAAGAGTTCTCCACTGCTGTGGACAGAAAAGACACTGATAGGGTGCAAACTACTGACTAGGAAATTGCACATTATTCATCTCTATACTCTCTTGCTGCCTTATAAGTTTCTTATAACAGCGGTCCCCAACCCCCGGGCCACCGGCGGGTACCGGTCCGTGAGTTGTTTGGTACTTGAGCTACAGTACCAAGATTTGTAACATTTATAAGGTGATTGTTAAAAAGCCTGAACTCAAGAAGTGTTGATCTGATGAGCAGGAAAACTGAAAAATAGGCCAGAAACAGCCTGTTAGGTGTAACTCCACAATACCTCAGTTAGCAGGTGTGTAGCTATACCCAGATCTATCAATGTCTGCAGATGGATGACTAAGCAGAAATTTAACACTGTCAAAAAAGCTGTTTTCTTCTGTTTGAGACCCTAATCACAAGTGATCGTCAGCGGAATTCATGTTCATAAAAAATTAAGCTGAAATCCATTCAATAGTTCTCAAGAGATTCAAATAATGACCTGGTAGCATTAAACAAGTTAGCTCTCAAGATCTAACATAAATGATGTGCACGGTCCTTGTCAGCAACACAGAAGATCCAGGTTTGTAGGCTCATCTTAGCTGCCTCTGCCACACAGTTGTGCTTACTCTCCTCTCATGCCCCTCCTTTGCGTTTAATCTCATAAACGGCTGTGGCTACAACTGTAGCTGCCTCCACCAGTGTGTGAATGCGAGAGTAAATGAATAGTGGAATTGTAAAGCACTTTGGGTGCCTTGAAAAGCGCTATATAAATCCAATCCATTATTATTATTATAACTTTCTCTTCAGACTTATCACTAAATACTTGAACTTTACTGCTGTTATCTTTTTTCCACCCTCTCACATAAAGTGAAAGTCACACTTCTCTCCCTGTTGTTTTTCTCCCCGTATAGCAAAGATGAGTCAGGAGCATCACACTGTGACGGCTTCACCAGAAATCAGAAGCTTCTCTGCAAAAAGGCTCACACATGGCAATGGTTTTTTTCTCAGTGTGTCAAAAGATGTGGCAAAAACATGAAATTGCCACGTTAAATTTAGAGAAGTTTCACACACACCAGTCAATCCAGCTTCCAAGTGAGCGGTTTCGGGTTTGAAGTGTACCACTTGGAAAACCCTGGGACGGCCATTTAAAGGGGGGTTGCAATATGCTCTTAGGCTCGCTGGTGCATCTGACGGCATGTGCATTTCCAGGGAGAAATGTGTTACAAACATGTGGCACAGTACTCACCAATGCAGGCGTGGACACGGACTGTCAGCTGGGTCCGTAAAATTACGCTGTGCTTCTTCCCTCTGGACCTGAGAGACATTGGAGGGAGGAAACAAGAGAATTAAATTTGAGTCAAAACTAAATTGTCTAAGTTTTGTCTCTTCTATGATAGCCAAAAACAGCTGACATGATGAGACTGATGCACACAAACGTGGGCGTGCATTACATTTATACCCCCATATTGATACACATCTGATTCTTTTCAGACAGCAGAACTGCAGCAGACATAACAGGCATTTTCACAAGTGCGCACCTCCGCGTGGCATCGTTCCCATGAGCAAACACTCATGGAAACCCTATTTTCAGTGGGAAGGCACACAAATGTCAAGATAAAGTACAATATTATGTTACGCTATCTGTTATACCCTTACGTCCTAATCGCTAGGAACTAATCAGCGACTTCAATCACTAACAAACTGATACCATCCAGCCCACGCAGGGAAAGCATGACTCTGATAGCATTTACCGCTGGAATTATGCATAACATGCTCTTAGGAAAAAACAGTCAAACAAGAGAGCACCTGGCCTCTAATCCTTCTATTACAATGTTATCAGATTTGCTAGGAAATAGAGCAAAATGTTAACACAATCTTTGAGATGCGAACAAACACAAATTCATTTTTCTTTCTTTTCTGGTCGTCTGTTGTGTAAGAATGGCAGTCAAAGCAACTGAACTGTGGGAGGAAAGCTAGGCTAGCATGAAACACATAGTGGTGTGGGCACACAGTTTAACTATATACTGACTTGTCAGTCACAAAGTAGGCCCACTCCCACTAAAGTATTCCCATCATTAATTTTGTTGATTGAGCTTTAACATCAAGTTCCCATAAACAAGACGGTCGAGATGGTGAAGGCAGTTTCCAGAGGTTCTCTGTCAGAAGCTTCCACTTTCTGGACTTCCAGTTTCATTGGGGCATTGAGATAGTCCAGAATAAATGAGGCTCCTTTTTTGGGTCATTAATGGTCTTCTGGGGAAAAAATGTGGCAATAAAAAATCATCATGGAGTTGAAAGAAATGGAGTGACTGCAAAATATTGACTGAAAAGGTGTAGCCTGTAGCTTTAGCTTATTACATCCACCCTTTTTACATTGAAAAATCTAACTGGCAACACTTTTATAACTAGATTTTACCAAACAAAGACCAAATCACCAAAGAGAAACTAATGCTTCATAAACAATCAGTCCTTAATTTTATACCTAGTTAGCTTTATACCTAGTTAGCATATTATTTTCATTTTATGCAGTTGAAACAATAGATACAGTTCCAATTTTAGTTTTTTACATTTTTTTTACAGATTTCGATTGAAATAAAACACCTTTGGATAAGTATTAGGGACATCACAGTACCGTGGGCCACTTTGGGGCTGCTGCTACACACCGGCAGCAAAAGCAGAAACTTCAAGCTTCTTGACCACAGTCACCTTCAGACACCACAACCAGCTGCGTCTTGTACGCACAGGTAAATAAGTGAATAAGCTACACTTGTAACGTCTGAGGTCTTTTTGCAACCACACACAATATACAAATGAAGTAAACAGCTTCAGGATCTGGAAAACGCAAAGCAACGCAAAGTGTGTTGAACCTGGCTTCTTCTTCATGGCCACCAGTGGGCAATACTCATGGTGGGACTTTCTTATTTCCCAATGAGTTCATGGGCTCAGTCACTCATTTATGTCTTTTATGTAAATCTCGGCCATAATACGTTTCAGAAATATCATCCAGGGTGCAGTCATTGGCTAATGATTTGTGATTAATGAGACGTTAGCCAATGAGCTAATGTTTCAAAACAGCAAGATGACAACATCTAAAACATTCATCTTGAGACTTCACAGACCAACATTTGATGCCATGGCAACCATGTCCACTTTTTATACCGCCTATCTTTGCAACCAGGGAACTCGCCCCCTGTTGGATGTTAGAAGAATGTAGATTTAAGGCACTTCTATATTGCCTTCACTTTTCAGACTCATGGAAGCTACAGTTAGAACAGAAGCAAAAGTCATGGGCCTAACTGTACATCCTTCTTTTATACACAGTGGATGCCTGTGATTGACATAAGTATGATATGTTGAAGTCAGGCGTAAAGGGTTCAAAGGGAGATTCCTTTGCATCACAAGCTACAGCCATCTACAGTGACTTCCAGTGGAAGCAGAGCAATTATTGTCACCCGAGGGCTTTGTTTACTGTAAACTGTGGTGAGCACTGTCCTGCCATAGCTGCAATCACAACACCGTCTTTGATGTGTGGAAGCATAAATTCAGCTAACACCAATGTGCTCTTTAGAAACCTGCAGATATTTTTAGTGATAGAGAAGTTTCCGTTTTCTGGATCAGTTATTTAGTAAAAACTAGAGGAAAAAAAACCCTTTTCTCATTATTCTATAAAAGATATTGTATGTGTGTGACCAGCAGACTTTATGGTTATTTATAAATTAAAACTGTTATTGTGGGATTATAGAGGTTGTGGCTGATAACTATTTTAAATGGATCCATCTAGTCAATCCTGATATCCACTGCTTAAAGTTTTTATTTCCCAGATGCTGTTAAAGGGAACCATTGTGTTATCATTATGCTTACAGCTCTTGAATTCTACTGCAGGAGTTTTCTGTGATCCATAATTGCACTTTTTTATCCCATGCTGGGCCTTAATGCAAGTAATGTTCAACGTCGGATCAAATGCAACTTAGCCAAGTTTATTCTGATTGGCTGCCCCTCACAAACAGAAGGTTTGAACAAGAAGTGGGCAGGGCTTCTTGCCTAAGATGACCATATTAGGGGTATCAACCCTCATTGACGTCATACAGCTGTCTGAAGATTGACCTTTTTGTTCACAGATATCATTTGCATGTACTGACCTCATTATTTGAAACTCATTCAGCAATGTAACAGTATATACTTAGTATGACAGAAAAATACGTTAACGCATCACCGAGCCTATTAAAGCACATGTTAAAGGTACGCTCTGACATTGGTTGGGATTAATTTGGTCTTTTATAACACTGTATAGACAGCTTTCATTGTGCAGAATGAATTTAGAAAGAATTCATCCTCACCCTTTGTGACATTTTGCCAAGACGAGGTCAAACCCAAACCAAAAACGCATGATTCATTTCTTACTGTCAGCTCATTATGACCTCGGTTAAAGCCACAGTTTGATAGAATGACTGACAGAACTGTCCAATCCAACCAGTTCCTCAACACAAACGAGCCTTTCTTCGCCTATCTGTCATCTGTCATATGGCTTACCGAGCGCACAAGAAAGATACACACATTTGAAAACAAATAGATAGATATGCACATGGAAACAACCACTTATAATAAACACAGAGACTAACAAGGCTCTGGGGTCTGCCATCACTTATCAGGCAGCCTCCCCCAGTCCTACACAGACTGACATACCTACACAAACGTACATTGTCACACACATGTGCTGCTGCTTAACAGCTGCCTTCTCCGTGTGGCGGTCAGAGCTCTTTGTGTATAAACGGCTTTGAGCCTATGTTTGCCCGTTTGTGTTACAGCTAATTAGCTAAAGTTACAAGGACTGATCAGCTAAGCAACTGTTTATACTCGTTTTTTTAGATGAGTCTTGGGCAATCAGATCACAAATGAACAGCGCTAAAGGCAAGTATAAAGACGAGACCACCAAGACACATTGCAATTGTTCAAACCACTTCCCGAGGTGGTCTGGGGAGCTTTTGACCACATATCCTGTGTGCTAAAGTGTCCTGATCAATCCCCAACTCTGGCATAACAGGAAATTTATTCGTGGTGGTCCTGTTTGGTCTGGTTCTGCACCTTCTTGGGTGCCACAAATGACTTTGTCCTAACAAAATAACCAGGAGGAAGAGCTAGGACAAACGTATCAGTTCTTGAAATACTTTGTTTTCTTTGCTAGCCCTTTCTTAAACCAATTTAGAGCTTATCTGGCAACAGATTGACGTAATAACTCCCACATAATCACTTCTGTTAGTGAGAGAGTAGGGAAATCTGACCACAACAGACACTTGAAAGCCCCCAACGGTTACCAGTGAGCCAGCGAACGTGGAGTAATCATGCTACAATAATGGTATAGCATTGACAGCATTCCTAACTTTAATTTGTTCTATTACCTAATTTCAGGATTTTCCAATTTAACTAGCTCTATTAATTGATATTAACAAAATATAGTCACTGTTTACGTTTCTTTGAGTTACTTTTGCCTTCATATCAACTCAAAGCAGTTTGGCCGTTCTACTCTGACCTCTCGCATCAAAAAAACATCTTCACACGGAGAACTGCCGCTCACGGGATATTTTCTCTTTTTCAGACCATTCTCTGTGAACCCGAGTGACGGCTCTGTGGGAAAGTCAGCAGTTTCTGGCAAAGACAAAGTCACTTAAATCTTCTTCATCCCCATTCTAAAGCTCAGTTTTCATTTCAGCAGGTCACGTTGACCATCTCTACTTGTCTAAATGGGCTGATTAATGAGAAGTTGAACAGCGTGTGTAGCTGGAAGCCACAAAGACAGGATTGCATAATAATGTTGGACTCAAATTCAGGTTTTGGTTGTAACTTGAATCCTATACAAATGTATCCGACGCTGAACCTTAGTTGCTGGTGCTAATATGCTAGCCTCAGGCCCTGAGGTTTTCTCACAGTTTTTAATTGCAGACACTGGCCACCTATCAGAGAAGAAAACTGTTTCCATTTGCAATATAAAAATTAGCACACTTACATGACCTAAAACAATAGCATTCAGAGGAATAGGCGGAGAGATGCTAGAGTGCCAGGAAAATTACATGTTATGGGATTTACAACAGATCCAGGGTAAGTTTGCTGTAGCCTAAGTGACACGCTAACACAGTTTAAGGAATAAAAAGAAAATCAGGTTCACCAGGGACTGAAGTAACATTCACTATAATGGAAATCATATGCTTGTCAACACTAATGAGCCACATAAGAGTTTATGAGTTTTGAACAATAGCCAAAGCACATAATCTAAGGTGATTAACATATTAAATATTCAATTTTCTGGGTGTAATCCTAATCCTGATTTACTGAGATGTCAATACAGCCAGGAGGTTTGATAGAGGTTTCAAAGCCCTTTTACAAAGTCATCACACCGTCGTCTCAACATTCAAGCTGTAAACTGTGAAATACTGTCACAAAGAAGACGAGAATATTAATCATACAATGGGAGAATAGCTGTTGCTGTGGAAGGGAGGGCACACGTGTCCTGCTTTCCAGAGTGCTTCATACTTTCCATGAACTTGCGCTTCCAAGAAATCCATATCCAACAGCTTGTGATTCTCCCCATTTTATAAGAATGAAGAAACTCAGAAAATATGTGTACGTGTATGAGGGGGGAGAGGGCGCGGGGGTCTCGCTGCTTTAGATATTTTCGAGTGGTGAAGAGAGAGAGACTGTTTGGTATAAAGGGTACATGAGTCACTCTCACCCTGTGTCGTCCTGCTGAAAGCCCTCCAGCTCGTCCCTTTGCTCAGCCAGCGAGGACTCCAGATCCAGATAGGTTCCATTGTGGGACAGCTGAAGTGCACAGTCATCAAGCTACGGGACGGCAGAAACAAAATATACAAAGTTAAAGTAATAAAGGAAATACAATAAACGTGTCACTCTGCACACAGGGATGACCCATTGGGCTTCCTTTGTCTAGCGTCCCTTTACTATGTATATCCATGATTCACACCCCCTTTAAAAAAATAAAACAAGAAAGAACAACACTTTGAGCCTGTAAAATAAAGCCAGTTTATGGGGCAGGGGTTTGAACACAAGTGCACACAGTGGTCTGTGAAGGGGTGAGAAGCATTTGCAGGGTGCCTCTGCTTTCTGCATTAAAAAGCTGTTAAGGGAGTTAACTCGTAATAAAGGACGCAGAACATGAAACCAAAACCAGAGTGGAACACAGCGACGGAACGGCACATTTTATTGCATTAAATACTAGCTGTGAAAAATATAACTCTCAGCTCGGCTCTATATGTTCGTTGAGCGAGCACAGCCTTGCACATGTCCAAGTTTTCGCGCTGGCGATTGATGACTTTCTGAGTTTTTTCACTTCTCATCCACCTCGCCTTCATGCATTTGCATGATCTAAGGTGACACTGTAGAGGGGCCTTTGTCAGAACTGACCCCCTGTGCTGTGTAAGAAGAAACCCAGCTGAGTTTGCGACCAGGTGCACAGTAATATATCAACCCGCCACTGGCACCAATGTTTATGAGTACGGTCACGGGTCGATAGCAGGTGGGAGCATCCGTCCCAGAGACAACTCTTAAAAAGCAACTTACGTCATTAGCTCGCAACAATCGGCTCTGTTTTTGCAACTGCTTCCTGAAGCTGCTGAAGTACGAATAAGTGAATGAGATCAGAGTCGCGCATTGGTATGTAGCAGCTCGGTGGCATCAGTGGGTTTAACTTTGATTGGCCTCTTGTGTGCTGCCAAATCCACACCCACCCACCCGGACAATCCTTTCCCGCTGTGTGACGACAATTTCTGACCACAGATCACAAGACCTGCTGCTGCTTTCTGTCCATTCCTCCCTTTCAGTCCTAAACAGAGAGACGGACTGTCGCATGGACTCACAGCATAAATATAACCTTGCTATATTTACTCTCCTCTGAGGCAGCATGCACACTGGAGCTCAAGAGTGGGTGTGTCTATGGGGGCAGGCAGCACTGCCTGAGCTGAAGTCTTGGAAAGGGGAACCTAAGAAGCAGCAGGTTAGCATTATTTAGGTAATCCCAGAAACATAACAGTTGATAAGGACACAATGAATCATCTGTGTCAAACCTTCTAAGGCTGAAGGATGACATCAGTGTGGAAGTGCCAAATGCTGCAGTTCCTCTAATGGCCATTCAAGGCTGCCTCACAAAGCAAGTACACTCATGTGATAAAATATTTATAATAGTATTCTACGGATAGTTTCCCCCTTCATGACAATTCTGCATTTTTTGGGGTTTTTTTTCTCATCTATCTGGATATTTGAGTTAGGGGCGTGGCCACATTGATTGACAAGTGTGCCAGAGCCTGCCTGGCCTCATCCAGCACTCCAAGGCACTGGGTTGGAGTTCTTCACTGCGTGCAGGCTGTTGGTCCCTCTTGGAGGATTTTCAAACAGAATACGTAACTTATATTAAGGCTTGTTGTGCGATGTACAAAGAAACAGTTTGCCCACTCTACCCTCTCATCCACCCTTTCATCCGGTGGTGGAAAACAGTGCTAATGCTAACAAAATCCAAAACCAGGGACTGATAGCATGGTGGCTATGTCCGTGTTTTATACTGTCCATGACAGAAGCACATACTGTTTCTTCAAAGTTTAAAAAAAGTTAACTCCAGCACAGGCACCATGCTAACAATAGGTTGGCATGGTAACGTGCTACTTAGCAAACAATGCATTACTTTGACAGAGTTTAACCACTGTGTGGAAATTTTTAATACCAACGCTGGTGTTGGTATTGGGTCGATACTTTGCTTCTATCCTTCTATTCTAGCCCACTGAACTGTGTTAAAAAAAATGTAAAGGTAATTTTTTTGGAAATGAAAAAAAAAATATAAATAAACTTTTAGACAGGTACATTTAGATTCCAGGTATGAAAAAAATTCAAAATACACAACTAGCTGAAAGGTATGTTTTTTTCTAGTGAATAATTATTATGAACAGTAAAAAATCAGAGTGATTTATTGTGCTCCCCTAAATATACTCCCTGTATAGGTTTAAAGTATCAATATTGGTATTTATTTATTCACTTGGTTTTGGATCGATACCAACATTTGCAATATTGCACAGGAAAGATGGTGAAAAATCAGAATATCATCCAAAAATGGGCGTCATGTTTGCATGCCCTATGTTATTTCCATCCATCCTGAGGCTGTTAAGACATTTCACTGAAAAGCACAGATGTCGTCCTCACAGTGGAAAAAGTCAGGGGATCAGAAACCTCACAGGGATACATTGTCTTTGAAGCAAACACACCAGACCACACTGTGATCCCTCAAAACCTGTGAGGCTGCCACCGTGGCTCAAAATTTTAACCAGCTGAAAAGGAAATGCAAACACTTTAAAGGTAATCTCTGCGCTCCATAAATAGTTTCCCCAGCTGTTAAAGTCAAGCGCGATGCTACTGTCCTTCACACTTTTCATACACGTGAGATTTGGTAAATCTCAAACCGAAACAGAGGGGGTGGAGACAGTGGGCAGGTGAGGGTGGGGTTAATCACCCTTTGTCCCAGTGGCCTGGTTTTTCATGGAGGGACTAAAACAAAACAACAAAACATTTCTTGTGTCTAATCTGCTGCCATTATCAGCATTTATTTTCTTTTCAGCAACATCCCAGGCACGTTGTCTGACCCACGCTGCCCTCCTTTACCTCCACACAAGCACACTAACACTGCTTCAGCAGCGAGGAGTGAGCTTGGTCGTCCAAATGATGTCTCTTTTTTCTAAAACACGTAGTAATAACACAACACATCACGCTGCATGAGGCCGAGAGCAGCGGTGGCTCCAAAGAGGAACCGCAGGCTCTTCACAAGTCAAGTCTCTGGGGACTTGCTAGAGCAACACTTATTGGCTTGTATATACTTCGCGCTCGTTTTAATCAAATTCTCCCTCAAGAGCAAAGCAGGAGAAAATAGGGGAGAGTAGAGGGAGTGGGGGGGAGGAGGTGTAATTACTTCCATGTTAAAACAACACCGGGTCTGGTGGTGGTGATCGCATTTAACAACACTCTTACATAACTTACAAGACAACTTTCTTTAAAAAAAACTTTTTTCTTGCATCAAAATCAAAGCCTCAGAGGCTCTTTGAAGAGCGAGGGGGAGGGCGTGTTCAGCGTCGGCCATTAAACCTCCAATGCTGCTTTACTGGGAACCTTTTGGTAGTGGAATAAAAGTCGAGCTGTGAAGTCTGAGCTTGTTTGTGGCAGAAGCTGTAGCTGGTCGACTGATAGCGACCTGAATATCCGATATGTTATTTTTAATTTTTTTTGTCTCATTGCCTAAATTAAGTTGGGAATGTCTACAATCTAGCCTTTAGACTGCCTTTATTATCCACTTTAAGTTGACTTCCTTTAAAGCAGGAAGAGGTCAGTGATGATCTCTGCTGCCAGAATCCAAACTTCTGTTTAGCAGCTGGGACAAAGTGACACATCCCCGTGCACAGCAAACCAGCAATACACTAATTTAGCTTTGGCAAGAGGTTCTAACCTTATGTGTCTGTGTTTGTGTGTTTGAGAGTACGAACTGCTGCACGGCCATAGAGGTGGAGGAAGAGATGGAGGAAGAGGTCAGGAAAACCGCGGCACCCAAAGTGAGGAGAACAAAGTGTCGCAGGGATCCAGGCCCCGGCCGCAGGAATTCTGGGACAAGTGACCTATACTTTACATGCAGCCCAGCCAGCCGTGCACAGAGCTCTACCATCATCACGGCATAATAACACAGCAGGCTTTTTTTTTCTTCCCCTTAGAGGAGAGCACAGGAGGTTAAAACAAAAATCAGGGAAAGGCTGTTTAAACAAAGACTAACTGAGAAAGCAAAGAGAACTGTCAAAAACAACTGAGCGCTTTTGACATTTTCCAATTATATAATAACACTCGAGTATTATAAGCACCAAGTTTTAGATCTGGACGGTCTGACGGGCAAATTTGCAACCACTCAAATTCATCCCTATAATCTAAGTGCAATATCCATTTGCCATTGCGCACAGCCTTCCTGGTGATGCGAGCGAAATTGCAAACACAAATGCAGGCTGTGCCATCTGTCCGACTATAGGTTGTAATCATAAGCTTTGCTGTGCCGTGGGCCATTTTTCATTTGTTTCGCGGTTTTTAAAGATGGGGGCAGCTAAAGATCGTCTGGTTCGGAAAACCGCTTCTGCTGCTTTGCTCTCAGGTCTGTGTGCCAGCAGTTAAAACTCCCCATTTTTTCCAGACTGTGCCAGTTTTTGTTTTTTTGTTTTCAACTCTGTTTAATCTACACTTTCAGCTTTAACTGTGTAGCAGCCACATAAATCATAAAAAACAAGGTCACATCTGCTGCACTTGTACAGCCTCTGTGGGTGTGTTTGTGTGTCTGAGTCAACCTTGTCTGTAAGGAATGCGTTGCTTTTTCCTTCTTTTTTTGGTGGGGGGGTTGCTTAAACACTGAAATTGACTGAAAATGGTATCTCTTCTTCTCCGTCACACCCACCGTGTCCCATCGCATGTAGGTGAATGAGGCACCTCGGGATAAATCTGGCTGAACTAATGCCTCTGTGCAGCCACCTGTCACTGCCGCATGCAAAGCAGAGAGCAAAAAATACAGTGGGAAGCTTTATTCAGTGTATTTGGGACTTCAGGGAGGTGGGGTGTCCGTTTGTGCGTAGACTTCTCAGCAGAGAAGTTCCATTTTAGAGATTTCCTCAAGCTGGTGGAGATCCAAAGCCTTCCTCTGTGGCACTTTAGTGTCAGAGTGCCCATATTTACGAGTCATCAGGGGCATTTAGAGAAGTTGGTGTGAGGCAGGATGCCATAATAGGACCTGTGATGGAATGTAATTTACTTAGGTACTTTGCTGAAACACACTTTTTCTCAGGTTTTGCAGTTGAAACTGAAGACCCCACCAGTGAGAAGCAGGTATAGCTACTTCAATTCAGCCTTGAGGTGTTTGATGTTGTAAAGTAAAGACCTTACAATGATAAAGTGAAAACCACGACAATTAAATTACCCCCTATTAGCAAGGCTTTGAGCAACAGTGGAAAGGAAAAACTCCCTTTTAACAGGAAGAAACCAATGGCAGAGCCCGGCTCAGGGAGGGGTGTGATCGGTTGGAGGTGATGGAAGGAAAACAGGACAAAACACGCTGTGGAAGAGAGTCAGAGTGATAACAACTAATGATTTTATGCAAATTGTGTATAAACACAAAGTGAATGAAAAAAGGGGTGTGACTAAGAAACAGAGTGCATCATGGGAAGCTCCGAGCAGCTTATATCTATGGCAGCGTAACTAAGGGAGGATTCAGGGTCATCTGATCCAGCCCTATCTATATGCTTTATCAAAAAGGAAGTTTTAAGCCTAATGAAATGAGGGAGAGCCTTCCCTCCCATTCTACTTTTATTTTCTAGGAACCACGAGTGAGCCCGCAGTCTGAAAAAACAGAACTTAAAAAAGCATATTCACTGAAAATTGCAAATGAGCTAAAGGTGCTGCTCAGTATACGCAGGAAAAAGAGAAGCGTAAAGACTAAATGTGCCCAGAGAGGTTGACTGGGACGGGAGACACAGGTGGTGAGGGCAGACATGATGGAAATGAGGGAAAGAAACAAAGACCAGAAATTTAAAAAACAAACAAACGCAGAAAACAAACTTTCAAAGTATAACAGAAAATAACTGATAGTTTCTAAACAAAAAGGACCACGACAGTTTTAATGTACTTGTATCTACTCAGCAGTATATTATTGATCAGTAAATAATGGGACAGACACTTACATGTAATCAGTGAATCATTATGATGTCATAATGTGATATATATGATTCTGAAAAGGCCTATTCTGCATAAGTTAACTTTGGATGTAATTTAACTATTAAGCATAATTGTGATTCCAAATAACTAAATTGTGCCACATTTTCTCCTTTTTAAAAAAACACTGTATTCATTTGTAATCAAACACAATGTTTTCCCCTCCTCTTGTTTTTGGTACCCTATGCCACCCCAATTTTTAAAATTCCGGAAACGTCCCTGTTAATCAATGTGAACCAAGTAAAGTCCCCTGCTTCAGGAAGCTCCGCGCTTCAAGGCGAACACTTTATTTCAAACCCAGCGAGTTGTGCTTCCATGTGTTCTTTAAATAGCCTCTGGTGGATGGTGGCTCTGGAAGTTTACTTACAAGAGGCTTGAGCATAAAACCAGCATGCGTAAACTGAATGGAGTACACATGTTCATCTATAAGTGTGTTTGAGTCAAAACATTAAAATAAATAACTAAATAAATAACTAAATAGCTCCTCAGTGACATTGTTAGTTGTCTCTAAGTTCAGAGTCATCTCCTAGCTTTGTGTGCAGCATGACTTGTTTACTACCCTGTTAATCCTACCTTGTGCGGAGCTTTGAGGAGCCGGTGGACTCCTGCGAGCTGGTTGATGAGGGGGATATCCTCTCTGAAGGAGTACAGGGGGGGTCTGGTCGGCTCTGGAAAGTTGGTGCTGTTGAAAGGATCGGTATCATCTAAAAACTGAACCCTGCAGACGAACGTGGCCATGGTGCATCCATGCAAGTGGTTCCTCTGTGAGGGCAGCCCGGCTTAATCAGAAGCGGAGCAGCTTTCTCTCCTGGTAACGACAACAAACCGCGGTCTCCAAGCAGCGCAGCAGCCTGTCCTCCCGCAGGACGGAGTGGATGGCACAGAGCGGTCCTCGCTTTGGTTCTGCTCCCTGAGCCTCCTCCTGCTGCCGCTGTGTTATTCTCGGAGAGGCAGGTGTCTGCAGGCGGACTTCAGCTCGGTGCCGGAGAGTGAAGGATCAGCGCAGCTTGGGACAGCCGGTCTGCTGTCTGAGTCCCAGTAAATCCACCCCCACCCCTCCGGTGTCTATTTTCCCCTCAGCCTCATCTCACCCTCCTCCCCCTCCTCAGATCACTGTCTCCGACTTAGCTGTGGCTTTCTATCTGAAGAGGAACGACACTAATCCTGTGGTACGTTTATGTAGACCAATGCAAAAAATGAAATATTAATGCATGACCCAGAAGACCTTAGAAACATTACAGAAGAAGCAAACCACCGGCTGAATACAGAGAAGTACATATATAAATACATATAAGAATGAATGTAATTTCCTCCTTAATGAGAGTTTACTTTACTTTATTTCAATACTGTGACACCTTTATTGAATAATGTATCAAATGAAACTATACAGGAATCTACAGTGAAAAGTGTGTTTGATGGAGTTTGAGGTTAGAAAACAATTCAGGTCAATTGTGACCTCTTTTGGCCAAACGCAGAATTGCAAGGGAAGACGTCTTGACACCTGCAATAGACAAACCGCTACCGCAGCTCTCCTTTCTTCTCCTCAGGTTGGCGACCGTTGCCTACCGATTACAGCACCTCATGGCCGTAAACTGGAGAAATGATTTTAAAAACGGATGAATAAAATCCAGACTAGTCTCACTTTTATTTGTTTATTTGATTTATTAACAATTTGACATTGGAGCTGCGTTATTAACCCCTATGTGGACTTACAACTACAAGGTTATTCATCATTTAAATGGTAATCAGCCTCTTGAGAAATACTTCAGTTTAGATGAGGTGCGTGGAGGGGTCAGTGGTTATCGGCTGCTGTTAATTTTAAGTGGAGTCATGAAATAGGAGACAAATTATACCTCACAGCTCCACGTTGTTTTGTGTGCGTGTGGACAGGGCCTCAAACCTGAAACACCCATGCACATTTACAGATATGTTTTGTGGGTTTATTTATGATAGGCTAATGACAGAGAAGGCCATCTGATATCACCCTGAGTCAACACACAAATGATGATTTCATTACCAGGCCTCTGGAGAACTTCAAGACATATTGAGGAGGTAATTTAGCCATTTGAATCAGCTGTGTTGGATCAAGGTTACATCTAAAGCCTCCAGGACACCAGCCCTTGAGGCCTGGAGTTCCCCCACCCTTGATTTACAGGGTTTCCCGTTTTTATCCCCGGCTGTTTTTATTCACATCTCTAACTATAGGCAGGACAATGGAGGCCTCTTGCATAGATGATCAGGTAAGTGCGTCAGGCTACAGTCACACTAAGCAAAACGGTGGTTTGAGACCACATAGTGCAACCAAAATTATTGCCACCATGTGCACCTCACAATGAAAACTAGTTGCCCTGAGGTTGAGGGTGCTGTAAGCTCAGCCTCTGGGTGGCCTTTTGATTGCTGCAACCAAGAGCAATTGATCTTAGACAGCAAAGAAAGTGCAGTCAGTCACCGACCAGAGGTTTTCCTCAACGTCAACCTGTTTTTCCTCTGATCTGACTGGAACCTTAAAGTGGACCTCTTAATGTTTCCCTTATTCTCTACCATTTATCTGCCATCGCTCATATTAAACAATAAGTTCCAAACACTGAGAATTGTGTAAGTGATCCATGAGAGCCAAAAGCTGAGGGCGCACACTGCACTGTTGCAACAAGGCCCTTTATAAATGGAAATATAAACAATTAACTCATGCAGTCACAGATGAACTTAACAGATAGAGTTGTATATAACAGATTTGAGCATAAGTTTGCTACCACAGTGAGTGGGTGACATGTCACCGGTGTCTTAGTCTGTTTAACACACCTGTCACCTGTGTACACCGCAAGCACTGTAGTGCAGTGGGCGAAATACCTCTTTATTACCACCAGAGGGCAGAAGGCCAGTCTCTTTATTTATTTATTTTTTGTTTTAACTGCGAATGAAACAGTGAAAAAGTAGAAGGACGTTCAGGAACCACTTCCACGCTGGGATATACAGTACTTTCCAGAGTCTAAAGTACCACAAAGGAGAGATAAAGGAAAATAAACATCAAGAACAATTATGCAAAACACACGTTTGCGTTATAGCAGCGACCCCAAGTGGTCTAATGAAGCTGTGCCGCTTGTGCTTCCTCAAAACAGGGTCCCAAGTCCATGTTCAAGGTTGGTGATAGATTCTAACTGCTCTACTGTGTGATGCAATCACAGACAACCACCAATCACAGCAAAGCACTGAGTCTATGTACGGGGCCATATACCGAGCGACCTCCTGTTTGTCGCTGAACTGGTTTGACAGACACATTTCTACAAAACGAAAGAATAAATTACAATTTGAAAAATCAAATCCAACCAAGAAAAATCCAAATATGACAATCTGATTTAAAGTTTACATGCAGAAACACTCATCTAGTTGCCACGCACCGATGGCACCATGGTGCTCGAAGGCCAGACTGTGCTCCACCTCTTCAACAAATAAACATAGGATACTCAAAGGCAACTTCCTCAGCAGAGATAAGACTCCACGCAGCATACATCTTATGTTGATTACTGGTTGTAAATAAAGCGTAAAGGGCATAAAGAGTTTCCCACACGCATCGAAAATCACAATTTTACGCCTGTTATCTTATCTGTAGTCTTGGTACATCAGGATTAGGAAACATCACCTTGTCTAAATGTGGGCTTGATCACCTCCCAACCACGCCTTTACACCGTGCATGAAAGTCATCATGAATAAGATCATTTGCAGCACCTTAGTCATTGGGTGGATGGCATTAGCTGCAGATTATAATACAATCTTTTGGATGGATTATCAAAATTGTACAACTAAAATAATATATATATATATATACATATATATATATATATATATATATAATATATATTAATATATATAATATATATACAATATTATCAATATTATATTATCAGAGAGAGAGAGAGAGAGAGAGAGAGAGAGAGAGAGAGAGAGAGAGAGAGAGAAGTATGATAGATAGATAGATAGATAGATAGATAGATAGATAGATAGATAGATAGATAGATAGATAGATAATAACAAAAAACATGCACTTTATTAATAGCCTTAGAAATAATAAAGGTTTAAAATTAATGGCCCAGTTTCAATTCATTTAGACTAAAATGACAGTGACAGAGTATGGCACTGACAGAGGCGAGGCTGCCAGACACAGGCGCCACCGGGCCCTCTGACCACCACCAGTAGGCAAACATGGGGTTAGTATCTTGCCCAAGGATATTTGGCATGCAGGCAGGAGGCAGCCTGGGATCAAACCACCGACCTTCTGATTAGTGGCTGACCTGCTCTGCCACCTGAGCTACAGCCACCCCATATAAATAGCTGCCTATGGACCTGCACATGTGTCTATACAAGGGGGCTAAATTTGTAAGTTTGTTTGCTTACAAAGAAATGAACAGTCTCTAATTTTTATGATAGTTTTATTTTAATAGAGAGAGAGAATATCAACCAACACATTACATGAAAGTGATTAAATAATTTGGTCCATTCCTCTTGGCTGCTGCTGGGCAACTCAAAGTTTCGGCTCCTTCCACACATTTCCTGTAGGACGGAGGCCTGAAGACTGGTAAGGCCAGTACATGACCTTAATGTGCTTCTTCTGCAGACACTGTTTGGTGTTTTTGGGATATTTTTTCAGTCATTGTCATCCCAGAAGACCCTTCTTTGAGCTGGTTGTAGGAAGGCGTTTCTCAACCAAGATTTTACAGTACACGGCCCCATACCTTGGCCCCTCAGTCTTGTCTGTTATGATGGAGAGGTTGAAATGGAAGAAACAGATCCTATGTGCTTCATACATATAATGAGTTGAGATCTATCTGTAATTAATCGATTGATTGTCGAATGTCACAGAATTCTGCTGTGGTGAGCTAGAATTCTGTGACATTCAAATCAATGTGTAACCTCTATGTAATGTGTTTTTTCTGTATTTTTAGTTATTCTGTCAATCTCAATTAAAATGAAACCACCACAGAAATGAGGACCTCTTCATTGTTTTGCAATGGGGCAAACTTACAGATATAACAGGGGATGAAAGAACTGTTCACCCCACCTCACATCTCTATACAAATATGTGCATTTCAAACTGTTATACATATGGATGCCACTGTATTGAATCAAAATACATTAAGAGGATGAACAAACAGAAAGGGATGTCATGTACCGAATACAATGTGTGTGTATTTATTGTTTCTTTTGTGTGTCTTTTTTTTTTCAGATCAGAAAACGCAACAAGTGAAATGACCCACACCAAATGTAAGACGGCTCACTAACTGACCCTCGCTGTTTTTTTCACCTGGCATAACAAAACTGCTCAGGGTTTGCAGATTCGTGCTGGCTGACAGATTCTCGAGTGACCTTTGAATGCATCGCTTGAGCAGGCATTGCAGAATTTTTAAAGGTCCACTGAATCTAGCCGGGCTGATACTTTCCCTGAAAACGATCATTGCTTTCTGGTAATGCCTGACTCTGTATGGATGTGTTTGGTTCTGTGAAGTGTCCCCCTGTGTCAGCATTGTTACATAAACGCGCGCTCCATATGACAGTCTGGGTATGCAACTACTTTATGTTATTTACCAATAGCGCTAAGCTCTGAAGAACGGAGGTTTTTTATCTGAAATGGTAACCTCTCATCCTGTTCCTTGAAGACGACATGAGTGTGTGCAAACTATGCAAACACACTGATGGCCAATCCAGCAGGACGTGGAATTGCACACACACCTACGAAGAAGTGGAACATGGGCCAGTGGCAGAGTGGAGATCTGCTCTATGTGCTTTCATGGCTTCACTCCAGCTTCCTTGTGCAGTCCAAAGACATGCGTGTTAGGGTCACTGGTAATTCTACACCAAGAGTTTAAACAAAAATAGACATACTGTAAGGAAATAAAGGTGATTATGATTGTTGACTGATGGTCTGATAGACAGTATTTGCACCATAAACTCCAAATACACTGAATTGGATTTTTCAAAGGAATCATTATCCAGCATAATCTATTACCTTAAATTATCACATGGAAACTGCATGAACCTTGACCAGTATGCCATAAATAG